GCTCTTTGCACGAAGCTTGAGGCTTAGCTTGACTTGACTTCCAAACATGCACAAAGCTGATGGCTTGTCCTTCAGGTTTGACAGCTAAAAGAATTAGAGGGACAGGGAGGAGAATTTTAAAAACCATTTCACAAGGAAATGCCGAAGGGCGAGAGGAGACATTTTGCAAATAGGGTTTTCAGAAAGTTTGTCCTTAGGGTTTGACCGTTTGGCTCAACCTACAGTCAAGTTGGCTCTGATACCACTTTGTCACGCCCAGAAATATAGCCCAAATTTCCAGACTATTTTGTGTATTAAATCCCTGTCCAGGACCAGCCAGGGTACACAAAACGACAAGTAATATACAGTTCCAAACGTAAATAAAGCGTAAAATACTTACAAAAGAGGCACTTAGTCCTCGCACCGAAACGAAAGCAGCAGCAGCGGAAAAAGGCGATCCTAGCAGGGCTTCAGCTCCACTCCACAGGCAAAACTCAACTAGGGTCTGAGCCTTGGTCCTCTAACTTCGTCTTCAGCTCAGAAGCACTACACTTCTGAAAAGGGGGAATAATAGCAAGGCTGAGTACAACCACCGTACTCAGCAAGCCACACCAACGATGCAGACGTGCAAGGGGATACAAGGATGGTTTGTGGCTATTTGCATAAAGGCGGTTGTAAAACATTTTATTGAGCGAAACAGTAAAACTGTTGAGTAATTAGAGTAACATTAAATCTCCACTGATCAACGCTACACCACGTTGAACAGGCCCAATCAACCCACCTGAACTACAGTGTATTGGGTCGATTTATTAAGTATGAGACTAATCACGGTGAATCTGGTCGACCGCCCATAACCGCGGGCACGGCTATTCGAATAGTTTTACTCTGATCAGAGGTGTACAACTGTACCCACAAGACACAGCCCCACGACACGTTACCGTGCGCCGACATGCCACCATGACATACCGGAAAGAGGCCGTGACAGGACCCTTCACATAACCCCCTCTAGCCAAGCACACCACACCTCAGGTTTCACCCCCGTCCCTAGCGGGCGACGGGCAGTCCCCTCTCGTGCCTAGGTGAATCCGGAAGCGACAGAGGCCGTCGCAGGGCCTGCCCCGCTCTATCACGCCCACCCTTGCCTGGATGCGTCAGCTAGAGGAAAGCTACACTATAAGTCCAGCCGTTGCCCACGCTGGCTTGTGGTAAGTACGATAAGTTCTTCCAGGGCATCCCGCGAACCGGTCCTTAATTGCCATGGGTGCGACTAGAAAAACCATGCACCCACAGCCCACCATTCAGTCGCATTTTAGTTGGATAATTACGACCATGAAGCATGGCCAGATGTCTCGAGCACGCAGCTCAACAAGATACTAGAATGTCTAATACTGCAATTATCCCATCGACTGAGCTAGTGGTAATTAAGCATGGCTAAGCATATAGTTCTAGCTAGGTCATCAAAGTAACACAAGCTAGGCGATTTATTACCCATGGTTGACAAAGGACAGATATCAAGTAAACATGGCACAAGCGAGCAGATAGGTAAAACCCTGACCCCATGTAATTAGCAAAACATGCATATTTATTTGCAAACAGTAAAACATTTGTAAATTGGGATCAACATGCTCAAGGGGAATGTGTGACTTGCCTTGCTTCTTCACTTTGATCTTCCGAACTCTTTTCCTCGCGACCGCGGACTTCCGAAATGACGGATTCTACACGCTGGCATGCAAAACGAGGAAAAACTCTAATAAAAACCAAGAAAATAGTACATAAAAACAAAACAAACATGTAGAGCTCAATTTTAGATGAATTTTGCAAGTTGAATGGCTCAATTCGGAGTTCGAATGAATTAGGTATGAATTTTAGAAGTTTTGAGCCATTTAAATGAATTTCTAGAATTAAACTCGATTTATTGCGCAATTATTATTTATTTTCTCAAAGGAAAAAGCTTAAGCGCTGACGTCATCAAAGAGGCCGGCGCCGACAGGCGGGCCCCACACGTCAGCGGGTCAAGGGAATCGGTCCACCGTGGACCGGGACCACTGGGTGGCGCGGTTGAGCACGGGCACGGCTCAGGCCAGCCCGGCCGAGCGACGGCTCGCGGCGGCGCGGCCTCCTGCGGCGACGGCCGGTGCATGCGAGAAAGCGGCGGTGAGGCGCGGCAAGGGGATCCGGGCGGCCCAGGCGAGCGGGGCGGCGGCAAGCCGGCCGGCCGACCTAATGGCAGCGGCGCACGGCCTGGTGGTCGCCGGCGGCGGCCACCGGCGCGACAGCGCGCACGGGAGACAGAGGAGGGAGGCAAGGAGGGAGAGGAGGAGCTCACCAAGGACGCGGCGATGAGGGGCGGGGAAAGGCGGGGGGGGGGGGGAGCTCGGCGTCGGCGCTCCTCGGGATGAAGGCGGAACGGCGGCCCGGCGGCGTTCCGCGAGCGGGAACCGGCAGACGGCGGCTGGAAGGACCTGGGGAGGATGGGGGAGAGGTTAGGAGGGGGAGAGAGGGCTCCCAGCGGCATGAATCGCTGGTCGGAGGGGAGAATGGGCGGCGGATGCTCACCGGCGCGAGGGGAACCGTGTTCCGGCGGGATCCCGGCCGTGAAAAGCGGCGGCCGAGGTGCTCCTCGGCGCTGCGAAGCGAGCGGCGGCGACAGCGCGACTTGGGGTGGCTAGGAGCGGCGCCAAGCGGCGGCTGGAGTCGGCGGCTTCGGTGGAAGGAGGTGGTGCGCGTGGCGATGGTGCTTCGGAGGCGGGGAGGGGAAATGGAGCGGACGCCGGGGTGTGGCACGACGCGGCGAAGCCGCTGGTGGCGGTCGCGCGGAACGACGGTGGTGGGAGCGGCTGTGGCGACCGGCTGGAGGGTCGTCGGCGAGCGGCGGCGGGAGGTGCAACGGTGGCGGGGTGGTTTTCGTGCACGGGAGGGCTCGGGAGAGGGGGAAATGGAGAGGGAGGTGCGGGGAATGTTTTTATAGGGGAGGGGAGGCGGGATCGAGCCCGAGAGAGGTAGAAACCGGCCGGCGATGTGGGAGGAGAGAGAGAGGCGGGAGGCGGCGACGTGGCCGGATTTTGCGGGGAGAGTGGGGGGAAACGGCGCGGACGTGGGCGACGACCGCGTCCACGCACGCGCGGGAGAGGGAGTCGCGCGGGAGAGGCGGTGACGTGGGAGGATTTGGCGGCCATGGCGGCGGTTGGGGATGGAGCTGGAGGTAGGAGATGACATGTGGGGCCCACCTGTCGGAGAGAGGGGGAGGGGAAAACGGGCTAGGGAGGAAATGTAGACTTGAGGAAGAGAGAGAGCCGAGCGGGCCGAGGAAGGGAAGCCCGGCCTAGGAAGGAGGAGGGGAGGAATTTGGGCCGAGCCCGAAAGGAAGGAAGGGGAAGATTATTTTCTTTTCTTTTTATTCTAATTGGTTAAATGAACTTTGTGCTATTTAAATTATTTCTTGAGCTCCGAAAATTCACGGGAAATTTCAGAGAGTATTTTAGGGCACAAAGAATATTGCAAAATATTCCCGGCCAATGATTTTTAAGGGAAAATTTTAATTCTCCCATTAATTCACTCAAATAAATTGCTTAAATTTTTATTTAATTTCTAGGAAATGCATTATTAAATGATTTTTAATCCTGAACGAAAATCGGGGCGTTACAGGCGTGATGGGTTGTGGTACATCAATCATGAGGAGCTGGGACTAACTGCAGTGGTAGGAGATCATTTTGCTTCATTGTCAGTTAGGATATCCATCTTTTAAGATTTTGAGTAAGTTGTATCCAGACCTATTTATTAGAGTGGATAAGCATAGACTGGTGTGTGATGCTTGTGAGCTTAGCAAACATACTCACTTTACATATGTTGGAATTAGCCTTCATAACTGTGAACCATTCATATTAATACATTCTGATATTTGGGGACCATGCCCAGTTACTTTTGTGAGTAGTTTCAAGTGGTTTGTCACCTTTATTGATTGTCATACTCGTATGACTTGGATTTATATGCTTAAGCACAAGAGTGAGGTCTTTCGATGCTTCTAGGACTTCCATAAATTAGTGACTACTCAATTTGATGCAAAAGTTAGGATTATTTGGCCTAATAATGGAACAGAATATATCAATAATGAATTTGTGTCATATGTCTCAGATAAAGGGATTATTCACTTGCCCTGTAACCCCTCCTCAAAATGGTGTAGTTGAGAGGAAGAATCGACATTTGCTAGAAGTTGCAAGATCTCTAATATTCCAAATGAATGTGCCAAAGTATTTATGGAGTGAGGCTGTAATAACAGTTGCATATCTTATCAATCGCATGCCATCTAGGATACTTGGTATGAAGTCACCTACCGAACTTTTATTGGGTAAGCGAGAGTTCAAGGTCCCTCCAAAAGTGTTTGGTTGTGTATGCTTTGTGCGAGATCATCGACCTTTTGGTGGCAAGTTGGATCCTCATGCAACAAAATGTGTGTTTGTTGACTACGCTTCAAGTCAGAAGGGGTATAAATGTTGGGATCCCATTGGGAGGAGATTGTTTGTGAGTATGGATGCGACATTTCGAGAGTTTGAGCCCTATTATAAAAGTAAATATCTTGACCAATTTCTTAAGAAATTCTTGACTACCATGGAGGTTGATAGTCGAGAGGGGGAGATAGAGAGATGTGACACACATGAAGAAAATGCTGGTGACAAGAATGGAGAGGTAGTGGTGGTTGGATCAATCCATGCTTTATTGATGACTAGTAATCATGCACGTGCAATGCACGTTCTCTGTATTATATCATGCTTCAACTTAATATATATAGGTGAACAATCAATATGTATGCATTACATCTTGCTTTAACCTAATATTTGGCAGTGAAAATTGTGTCCAATAAGGTCCATTTTTTGTTTCAAAGATAAAACAAAGAAAACTGTAAGCTTCATTGCAACTTCATTCATGTTGAAAATAAAAAATAGACAACACCTTAGAGCGTTCAATCAGAGATTCAGAGTAAACAATGCAGACGAAATCCATGTTACATGAATAAATAATTGAAATGGAGAAGACGCCTCATTTTTATTTCCATACAAAATGAAAATTAAAGAAAATATAGAAATTCACCAAGTAGAACCATAACAAAGAATTCAGAAAAATACAACATTGTTGTCATCTCCATTTACAAAGAATACTAAGTTTTAGAAGTAATAAGAATGTATAATTATAAATCTGCAATTATTTCATATATCTCCAAACTGAAGCGGGATCATTCATCCAGATCGTCTTGATTGATTAAAGGCTTCAGCTTGAAAACAATTAGTTTTGAAAATCAAATTCCAATCCATGAATGAAACATAAGCAAACATATCATTGAAATAAAATAAATATGATGAAACCAATGATCATTTTTTAATAAGGGATTTTCAGCTTAAACGATCTCGATATCTCTTGGTATGATCACATTTACTGAAAGAAGAAGCTAAATGATGGAAAATAAATTAATGATATATCTGAAGCATTTTAATAAACACATGGTCAGCTAGTATTATACGTTTCGGCCTGGCAAATCATCTAATACAAACATATGAGTAGCGTGCACATGTCCAATCTATGTTGAAGGTAAAATAATTTAACATGCATCTATATATACTGTTAAGTGTCAAGCAAATATGTCCCTGGAACAATAGGGTAGCAGACCTGGCGGTGGAGTAAGATGCAGAGCAAGAGGTTATAGCACCTTAATTTGTCTCTGCATAAAGCACCACAAATTAAAGGTATGCTTTTTCAGATTTTAGTAAACTAAAATACCCATATTTCCCTACATGACGTCGTTACTTAACATTATGCACATTGGATGTATTCCTCATTAATTAGAACAAAGGTATGCCTCAAAATTTACTGACCTGATAAGTAGTTATTCCATTAAAAAGAGTTGCAAGTAAACATCAATATTTTTGTAATGCATTCTTGGCACATGATAGAGGTATACATGTTTATAACATGTGACATACACAAGGCATATTTCACAATGATATCAACTAAAATGCTCCTTCTACCAAAGATAAGAGCATTTTTTACCCACCAGCAGATTCATCTATTGCAAATATTATAGTGATATTACTTAAATGCAACAGATTAGAAAATGATAAGGGAAAACTAACCTTCTGGAAATCGATTCCAGAATAAACAATATGGCAGTTAGAAAACTCACCGATCTTCTTGTCAATTGTCTGTTTAGTCAAAATATGGTTAATTGCCAAAATATGAACTTCAATGGATTTATAACGAAACAAATATCCCATGGTCGACTAATGATTTGGGGTGAATAGCTAATATGGTCCCTGAAATTTCGCTTCGGGCTCAGTTTAGTCCTTGAGGTTTCAAATCGTCCAAACAAATCCTCTAAATTAATTATTTGGGTTAATATAGTCCTTGGACCCACAAAAAGTGCCATGTGAGCATGCCAAGTCATCCTCGTATGCACCGATATGAATGAAATGACCATTCTACCTTTATATACCATATATAAAAGAAAACAAATGTTTCACACATGTATGATCGTTTTAGAATTGTCACTTATGATTGCTGTAGCCAAGCACTGATCGTATAAATTCTTGTCGGCCACCCTCCGCAACAATGTTGGGCCTGGGTTGGCCTATTATTTTTTTGTTTGCATCTTTTCTTTCTTTTCTATATGGTATATAAGGGTAAAATTGTCATTTTATTTATACTACAGCATGCGACGATGACTTGGCATGCTCACGTGGTATTCTTTATGGGTTCAAGAACTATATTAACCCAAATGATAAATTTGGAGGACTTGTTTGGACGATTTGAAACCTCAAGGACTAAACTGAGCTTAAAGCGAAACTTCAGGGACCATATTAGCTATTCACCCAATGATTTGCATGGTAAATAATCAAGCACTCAGGGCACATGAAAAGGCATAATTCCCCCTTATGTTTAGGAAGCTAATAGCCTTTACATCACCTGTCTTTGACAGCAAATCATTTTTGCCAGATAAACATATGGCAACTTTTGATCAAATTTGCACTGCATCAATATTCCTCCATCAGTCTTTAATGTACCTAGAACCAACGACTATTGAGTTCAACATTGTCAAAATAAAATCCTTCTGCAGCCTACTACGCTCATAGTCAAACATAATGTAGTGTTATCAATATTAAATTGTTATACACATTTTCTTCGTGTGTTACTGACTTGCTTTACACTTCAAGGAAATCATAAATCAACACTTCAAGAATTATTGTTATCAACAAACGATTATGTACAAATACTGTTGCTGAACATACGCCTAAGGGGACTAACTTACAGCTGAAACTGAATTGTTAGGACATAGGAGGTATATTAAACTATTAAAGGAAGAAAGCATATAAAAAAGAGCAAAGCCAAATAGTCAAACCTGCTTAAGAGAATAGCCTATCTACATAAAATGAGTAAGCCCATTAGCACAGCATGTTGCTTCAGTTGATATATTAACAGTGTTCTGTAGCCTTTTAACTTGCTCATCAGCTATATTTGTACAAAATACTATTTCTTCAAACTTCTAGCTACAATTTCAGAACCTAAATTAGGACATAAGCTTATGCAGCAAAAAAAGGAACATCTTTGGCATGGTGCACGGCATGACATAATCGCAATAAGCAATTTCCAGATAACAGAAGTACATATGTACATCCTATTAACATAACCAAGCTAAACATTTCAGGCAACTACCAAATATTTTCAGACAATAATACTTCTTAATCTACATAGAGAGTAAACCTCGTTAATGCTCATGCATAAAAAAAATGAGATCACATCTACATAGACATAGATAATTAGATATGGCAGGGATAGTTAACAATCAAGCATGAAGTAAAATCACCCGTGGAACAACATAGATCATCAAATGACCCTTCAAAAAAAATCCAGATCCTTCATTTTTTTTTCACCAAGATTCACTTAATCCCTCAAAATAAAAACAAAGAACACTTGTATTAAGGTAAAGGTTAGGTTTACCTGAAAATCATATTTTGACAGTGAGAAAAAGGTTAGGTTTACCTGATTTAGAGTGTACAAAGAAAATATAGCGACTCCTAGCACATCAAAGCTTCAAGGCAAAATTAGTGAGCGGTGCATGAAGAAAGGGAACAGAAGAATAAATCCGTGAGTCTACCACCATGATTAAGCAAGAAGGGGAAATATTACAACGTCAGCAACATTATGCTGACAAATAGGACACCAAGTAGAAAGCCCCTCTAGCAGTAACATTACACAGTTACATAGCTATATACAGAGGTTAGCCATTCACAGAGGAGAAAATCCCAGCGGCCTCCTAAGTCAGTAAAACTTAGGAACAACAATTATATACAGAATTACTGATGGAGCAAACACATTTGACATAGTTGCATTTTTAGTAACACCATTCTTAAGAGCTGAAACATTATATCGGTTTTTTAAATATATTTGAGTTTTCCGATCAGATCAAATTATATGTTTTGTAGAGGCATGGTACTAATGCTGGATGTGCATTGTTGAATACAAGACACATTATGGATTGCACAGTTTCATTTCCTGCACCACCCAAATATCATTTCAGCATATTACTGCTGGGCATACATATTTTAATTTAAAAAACACTCGGAAGGGGTTACCAATTACAGATGTTGAAACTGTCTATTTCTTAGAGTTAGATTCCTCATTCCTTCATTGCCTGCTCTCGTGATTCCTTTGAATCTTGTCTCCATTTTGTCCAATGCTTATGGACATGTATATCTCCCTGTCAATGACACACTTCTTCATGATTCGGCGGCACTTATATTAGTAGTATCAGCAACAGTAGCAGCGGAAGTTATGTTCCAAATTAGAGGGAAGAACACTTTATCATTTCAGTTTCAGTAGCAGGGAGAAAAATCACCTGGTCTTCTAGACGATGTTCATCAGTTTGCTGCTCTTCCAGTGGGTAGTCTACTGGGCGTCGGGTAGGATAATCATTGGTACCGTTGAAGACCTGCAAACAGCGGTACATGCTGCGGATGGAGGTTTTCTCGCTGCGGGTGATGGAGGGAGAGGAAGGGGCGGCAAAGAGTATGTGCGGCGGTGACCGATGGTGCCATAGGCGTGCGACCTCCAAGGAATGGGAAGAGCCGCGGAGCAAACGGCAGGCGACGGCGTCGGTGGTGTGGCGAGCGACAGCGTCAGTTTTTGGGTTGCTGGCATGATCGATCGAGCGCGCGGTGGCGGCCATGGTGGTGCTTTAGTCCTCGATCTGTGTGGCACGACAATAGTGAGGAGGGTGACGCATCGGTTGCGGGCAGCGCCGGCGGCACCCATACCCATCGGCCACCACTACCTCGCGGTATCATCGGCGGATTTTCCCTCGAAATGCGGGGATGATTGCACATGGCAGCGGCAGCGGCTGGGGACGACCTCAGCTCCGGCGGGCGCAACGGTGGAGCGCGGCGGCGGCGGAAGACCTAGGCTCCGGTGGGGGCAGCGGTGGAGTGCGGTGGCGGCGGGGACACGCGAGGAGGGAGGATGTGCGGAGCGAGGAGGAGCAAATAGAGCGGAGGCCGGAGTCTTCGTGCGGTGGCGAGAGCGCAGGCGAACATTGCGGTAGATGGATAGGATGAAATCGCGGTCGCGGTGAAGAGGGTGAAATCACGGGTGGATGGTAGGGATTAGGGATTAGGGCAATGCGGATGCAGATGGATGGTTGGGATTCATCCGGTGATTTGGCCGGTAGGATTGGAGAGGGGCAGCTCCTCCTTTTTATATTAGTATAGATGTGAGTAAAGAGGTAGGGCAAACTGTTGAAGCTACACAAGACGAAGTTAAAGAAATGGATCTTCATAAGGAGGATGGAGAAGTAGTTGTTGAGACAATTCCATGTCCTATGGAGTGAGCCGAAATGGTGAAACAAAAGGATGTACTAGTTTATCAAAGGAGGCGGTTTTGATAGTCGGTGGGAGAAAAGCAAAATGTTAGTGAAAGATCAGGTTGAAGAGTTACCAAACCTAGAGTGCTCAGTCCCAGAATCCTCTCAGACCCTCTCTCCTCGGTCTCCTTGGCTCCTCTTGAGATAATTGGTAACACTTCTCCAAGTCTTGAACTAGTAGAATTACCTATTGCATAGTGTAGAGAGATTAGATCCAATGCTAGTAGACCTCCTGTATGTCTTGGTTTTGAGCATCTTAGTTCTATGCGTGACATTGCAAACGATATATCATATTCCTATATTTCACCAACATACAAAACATTCATTGTATCATTACATATTGTGCCCATTCTGAAGGATTGGAAGCGTGCAAAGCAAAATCCAAGGTGGAAAGATGCAATGAAAGAAAAGCTTAATGCCCTTGCAAAAAATAAGGCTTGGGAACTTGTGAGACTTCCACCAGGTGGGGGGGAAGGGTGGCTTCCCAGCGGAGGTTTGCATTGGTGGTGTGTGTGTGTGGGGGGGGGGGAGTCGGAGCTGCTTGTCAAGGGTGGCAAGCTCGGCAATGATAACCTTCTTTTGCTTTCGTCTTGACAGCGCTGTGGCAGCATGGGTTGTTGTAGTTGGCAGGGAGAGAGAGCTAGGGCGAAGACCCTGCTCGATCTTGGGCTAGAGCCAACGATGTCGACGCTTGTGGGCGCAGTTATCCTTCTTGAAGGTGTCATTACTTTGCTCTCCCCTTTTATTCGGGTGAAAACCTTATTCCAATGTTCGGGCGGACGTTGTTTGGCATTGCGACGCTATCTTCCTCCTTGGAGGCTTCGTCTTGAAGACCCTGCGCTAGTTATCTGTGGTATGTTGATAGGAAGTCAGAGCTCCTCTTCTGAGCTCGGCAAATATGACCTATGTCTTGTCCTTCAGTTGTGCTGTCGCAAGTTTGTTAGTTTGTTTTTCATGTGGGTTTTGTCCGGTTTTCCTCTTTAAACCGTGCTTATGTTAGGATTTTGGGCCCAGTTTTCCATCAAAAGCTGGGCCAAATCTCTTCTTCTTAAATGAAAACAGGCACTCCTGGTTCTCTATGAGGTTTTCTTCAAAAATATATATAGGTAATTGATCTGGTCTCGATACAGGTAGTTGATCTGTAACAGCTCAAGACAATTAGTCTGTGTTGTATTGTACGATGGTGGTGTGAGAAAACTTATCACAGGGTTTGCATTAAGTTCACCTCAAAATTTACAGATAACTTAAATGGAATTGATGCTGCATAAATTTTCTTCAGAACAAAGTAAATTTGGTGAAATGGTGTAACGGTTTTATAATTGGAGTGCATTTTCCTAACATTGTGCGGAGTACAGTTATAGTTAAATTATAATATGCTTAACACGGTGTTACTTGTTTTAGAAAGGTTTATGTTGTTTATTTAACAGATATATCTCTTTCACTCTTTTGGGTAAGTTCAGATTAAGCTTTTGTAGAAGTAGGAAGCTGCCCATATGCTCATCTGAGCATTTTGCAAAACGGCGATTCAATTTTTTTTATCTGTAATTTGTGTATACCGTGCATATCAGATGTTTGAAGGGTGCACTTGTGTCACCTTTTATTTTGTTCATGGAGCTTTTAATAATAGTATGGGGAAAATTTGATGATTCATCAGTCCTTAAGACTGGTACTTGACCCTTTGCCAGTTGCCACTTCAAGAGTTCAAGTCGTAGATATGACCGCTCTAAATGATCCAAGAACTAAGCAATTGTGGTAAGGTTCCGTTGTTTTTTCATGTTCCCTTCTGCATATTTAATTAATAGTATATGGTATGGAGCTTCGTTAATAACTTCTGTAATGTTATGTTTACAGATACACAAATGCTATGCAACTGGGTGTTTTGTTCTTGGTAAAGTTTCACTTCCTAATACAGTATATACCACTGATCCGTACCACTGATAACACAAATTCATCCTACAGTAAACTTCTCATATGTTATTTCTTTTTTGTAATTGAACGAAAAATCCGTTGCTGGCTTGCTTCAGTGCTTGCATCGTACTATTAAGTTGCAGAACACAAACTTAGTTTATTCTCAAATATAAAGATGCATGGTTACCATGTCGATCTGCATGACATCCATTTAACACACTGCTTACATTGTTCGGTCTGTGTGGAGATTATGGGTACCCCATACCCACACGGCATGGTTATCCGACTAGTTATAGGGGATAACTTATATCTATGTAATATGTAACAGATCATGACTTGGGTGTTACGTTTCCTTGTATATTACGGAACGGCCTAAAGTCCTGATTTAGGAAACCGATACCGTATTGGTTAAGGTTTCTATCTTGTAATCCTGCCCCCCGTCCTATATAAGGTGGGCAGGAGGCCCTCTAGGGGGCATATATGACACAACCTGATCGTCAGATCAATACACACCCGGCGGATTCAAATCCCCAAACAGGAGTAGGGTATTACCTCTCATTGAGAGGGCCTGAACCTGTCTAAATCCTTTGTCTCTGCATCCATCCACTTTTAGGTCTCGTGCGCTACCCCGTTTTATTATTGCCGAATCCATGTTTCGACAGTTGGCGCGCCAGGTAGGGGCTGCGTCGAGCTTCCTATCAATTTCATGAGTCGCCGACTTCGTTTTCGCTTTGGGAGTTTTCACTTCCTTTCCGTCGACCACTTCTTCAAGCTCCTCTTCTCTGACTTGATCCAAATCAGTCAGGGGAAAACTCAATCTGATTTTTATCATTATTTATCATATTGATTTTTAATCTCAGATTAATCTCTTGCTATTTTTTGTTGTTGTTCGCATATAATTACGCGGCACTATTGAGGCGATTGATGCTGGTCATGGACTCGAGGCGTCTCAGCTTTCCGGTCGATCGGCCGCGAGTCCACTCTGCCGGCTTGTCTTCGCCACCGCCATTGCTGATAACAACAACGACTTCACCGCCGGCCTGCCTCCGTCACCGCTGAGTGGTGCCTCCGCCTACACGGCTGGCCTATTATGCCGCCGCTGTTGGGCGTCTACGACTTCACCGCCGGCCTGCCTCCGTCACCGCCGAGTGGTGCCTCCGCCTACACGGCTGGCCTATTATGCCGCCGCTGTTGGGCGTCTACGACTTCACCGCCGGCCTGCCTCCGTCGCCGCCGAGTGGTGCCTCCGCCTACACGGCTGGCCTATTATGCCGTCGCTGTTGGGCGTCTACGACTTCACCGCCGGCCTGCCTCCGTCGCCGCCGACTGGTGTCCTCGCCTATATGGTTGGTTGGTCACACCACCGTTCATGGGCGTCCACGTCTTCACCGCCGGCCTGCCTCCGTCGCCGCCGAGTGGTGCCTTCGCCTACACGGCTGGCCTATTATGCCGCCGCTGTTGGGCGTCTACGTCTTCACCGCCGGCCTGCCTCCGTCGCCGCCGAGTGGTGCCTCCGCCTACACGGCTGGCCTATTATGCCGCCGCTGTTGGGCGTCTACGACTTCACCGCCGGCCTGCCTCCGTCGCCGCCGAGTGGTGCCTCCGCCTACACGGCTGGCCTATTATGCCGCCGCTGTTGGGCGTCTACGACTTCACCGCCGGCCTGCCTCTGTCGCTGCCGACTGGTGTCCTCGCCTATATGGTTGGTTGGTCACACCACCGTTCATGGGCGTCCACGTCTTCACCGCCGGCCTGCCTCCGTCGCCGCCGAGTGGTGCCTGCGCCTACACGGCTGGCCTATTATGCCGCCGCTGTTGGGCGTCTACGTCTTCACCGCCGGCCTGCCTCCGTCGCCGCCGAGTGGTGCCTCCGCCTACACGGCTGGCCTATTATGCCGCCGCTGTTGGGCGTCTACGACTTCACCGCCGGCCTGCCTCCGTCGCCGCCGAGTGGTGCCTCCGCCTACACGGCTGGCCTATTATGCCGCCGCTGTTGGGCGTCTACGACTTCACCGCCGGCCTGCCTCCGTCGCCGCCGACTGGTGTCCTCGCCTATACGATTGGTTGGTCACACCACCGTTCATGGGCGTCCACGTCTTCACCGCTGGCCTGCCTCTGCCGCCACTGACTGGTGTTTTTGCCTATACGGTTGGCGGACTCCGCCGCTGTTAATGGGCTTCATCATCTACACCACTGGCTTGGTTCCACTGGCGCCGACTGGTGTTTTTGTCACCATTGATGGACTGCTTCGTTCCCACATCGGCTACTTTTGCTGTCACCGAGGGAATATTACAAAGCTAAGTCATCATTTATTTTATTCTTTATATGATATTTTGCCTTTTCCTTTGCCTCACTACCTCAACTGGTTCGCCGTTGACTAGTGAGTCGGGGGCTATAGATGTTATATCGTATTTTTTAAACAATTTTCATAATATTTATCTTGATTGCTTGCGACATAATCTGAGTACAAAAGTACCTATCAAGTTATGGAGTTCTATCTTCCTATGCTTTCCGTTTGGTTTGCCAATGGATGGTTGCCTTTGGGCCGATTCCTAGCACCCGGGGGCTCGTTGGATGGACCGAGTAACGCAAGGTGCTAAGTATTATTCGGAATAAATCAAAAGCATAGAGATGAGATAAATTTATTTTCTGCTCTTAATAATTGCAAAAGTACCTGAGTAGTAAATTCTGATCCGTGAAACTTTGTTCCATTAATGACGAACTCATGTCACTCATATGCATGTTTGGGAAATGCCTAGGCCGACTCCCGATGCTTGGGGGCTATGACTAGTCGGACAGAGTGTTTAAAC